AAAACTTTGAAACTACTAGATGAAAACATAGGGGAAACAGTCCAGGCTACTGGTACAGGCACCTGAATAGAACTCCAATAGTTCAGGAACAAAAACAATTGAGAAGTGGGATTGCATAAAATTAAAAAGCTTCTGTACAACAATCAACAGAGTGAATTGGGAACCTGTAGAATGGGAGAAAAATCTGCCGACTATTCATCTGACTGAGGATTAATGGCCAGAACTTATAAAAAACTCCGTACATTTAACAAAAATGGACAATTAATCTAATAAAAATTGGCAAATGATTTGAACATATACTTCTTTTGAAGAAGTATAAATGGTCAATGAGTATATGAAAAAATGCTTAATATCTTTAGCTAACAGGGAAATGCAAATCAAAACTTCACTGATACTGTATCTCACCCCAGTTGGAATAGCTTAAAAAACAAAACAAAATAATAAATGGTGGCTAGAATGTGGAGGAAAAGGAACCTTATACACTATTGGTGGAAATGTAAATTGGTACATCCACTATGGAAAATACTATGAAGGTTGCTAAAAAACTAAAAATAGAACTACCATATGATCTAGTTATTCCACTCCTGAGTATAATATCCAAAGGAAATGATGCCAATATTCAAAAGAGATATCCATATATCTATGTTTATTTTAACAGTATTCATAATAGCTAAGAAAAGGAATCAGCTCAGATCAAGTTAACAGATAAATGTATAACAAGGACTTAGAATCTCTACCTTTATTTTGTATTCATCTTCAGGTCCCTCATTAGCTCTGCACTTATGTGCATGTTAATCATTTAAAAAGTTCATCTAAAAACTGGTGAAACAATTTACTAACCTATCTCATCCTACTCAAGACTGAGGCAAAATTCGTAGCATCCTGTTTCAGATCCCTACGGTGGCACATAGAAATTTTTAGTCCTACTCCTTCCAGGAACATCAGAATGAAGGGTATATCACCCTTTGATAGGACTATCTCCTAAGCAGGAACAATCATTTTTCAGGAACTGAAATGCTCCTTTCCAGGATCACAGATCTGATAGATAAATATCCTAAATAGAAAGTATCCTGAGCCAGATCTGAAATGTTCATCAACTAGTCCACAATTTGACAAAGACTACTTAATTATGCATACCTCTCACCCCTGCCCAATTCTTGCTCCATTTAAACTGACAGGGCTGAAATGCTGCATCTCACCTTGTCTTCCCATGGTCATAATGATTAAAGTTCTGTTCCTACTTTTATCATTACTTTTTCTTTTGGGTTTTGTGATGAGTGGCTGGACCTGGTTATTTGGGATCCCTAGAGGTAGGCATCTGGCCTAGGATTCTGATAAAAAGTAGATAAAGAAAATATAGTCTGTACATAGACATGAATTACTATTAAAAATAATTTCATTTGGAGAAAAATTGATGGAACTGGAGAAAGTTATATTAAGTGAAATAAGTGAGATACAGACAAATATCAGGTTTACTCTCATGTGTAGAACCAAAAGCAAAGCAACACAAAACAAAACAAAACAAAAAACTACCTGAATGTATAAGAGACTTAGGTGAAGGGAGGGTGGACATAATCAAGGAAGGATATATATATATATAAATGTCAGAGTGAACACCATTAATTTGTACAATTAGTTTATGTTAATAATTATAATCAAAACAAGTATCAAAAGTTTTAGGTGCTGAAAAATGTAATGAATAATTATTGATTAAAGTGTAGAAATCAGAATGGTTATAATTAAAATTACATAAAGACAATATCCATGTGTTACAACCAATAATTTTCCTTAATAATCTGTTTATCAGCCATATTCATTTTATCACATTTTAAACCAAATTTTTCTTTGCTTTTCAGACATGCTGAGTCTGCAATACATTTTAATTGCTCTAAAATATGAGGTATATGTGATACTCTAATGTATAATAAGAAATATATTGGGCTGGGGATATAGCACAGTGGTAGAGGGTTTGTCTTCCATGCTTGAGCCCCTGAATTCTATTCCTTAGACTATAAAAATGAAAAGAAAAATAAATGAATATTTTATTTTCCAGGTATATGACTCCTTGGAATCTCTGAAATGGTATCTTTTTTGTATGGTAATAATATGGCTAAGAGCTCCTGGAGAATCTCAGGATAGGGGCTGGTTGCAAGGGTAACTAACTATCCATGTAAGAATAGGTTAGAAACTTTTAGCCCCTACTTCCTTTCTAGGAAAAGGAGAGGGCTGAAGGTTGAGTTGACCACCAGTGGCTAATGATTTAATCAATTATGCCTACCTAGGAGGCTTCCATAAAACCCAAGAGGAAAAGGTTGGAAAGTTTCCAGACTGGTGAACATATCAATGTTTTGGTAAAGTGGCACACCTCAAGCTCTTGTCCTATGTATTTGTTCTTCTGGCTATCTGTATCGTTTATAAGAAACCAGTAAATGTAATTTTTTTTTTTTTTCAGTTCTTTGAGCCATTTTAGGAACTGACTGAACCTAAGGATACAGCCATGGGAAATACCAATTTAAAGAAGTACTGGATACCGGGACAGCACTGCATCTGATGTCTAAAGTATAGGGCATTCTTGTGATAGTGACAGAAATGAGTAGAATTATAACACACTTGATATTGGAGAATCAGTTGGTGTGGGAAAAACACACATACCTGGTTACAGATGTATTCTTTGTTGAGTGTGAACAAGAGAAAAAACAGTTGTCTGCTTAATACCACTTTTAGAATAGACCAACCAAGAGAACACAGAAGGTAGGGGTTACTTGGGTTTCTTTCCTCAGCTATGTTACCAAATAATTAACTCAAAAGAAAAAGTAAGTAATTTAAGAGGGAGAAAAAAATTCTTGGTCTCATAATATTATTATTCATAAATGACTAATAACCCATTGGCCCACCAAATTTTGCCAATATGATCCAACCTACTAAGTTCTCGGCAAAATATTAGTTAGGGAATTTAGGTCCCTGTTGCAGATTTTTGGCTAACTTATAAGAGCAGTGCACAAAATCCTACATTCAAACCTAGAGTTGTTTAGCTTCTAAAATGTTCATAATAAATGTAGTTTTATGTTTTTTTTTCCCCATAGGAACTTTGGTTTATTTGCAAAATTAATGAGTCTTCTGTAATGTAACTCTCCAACAACATTTGGCCTTTCAGGCTTTGCTAGAAAGTAGAAACCACAGAATATTGTATAAGAATGATAAGATGTACGTATAAGCAAAAAGAAAATTAGGCCAGGCCTATGCTGAGTAATATTATGTATGTTATTATCTCTCTCTGGTTTTCAAACTTTTTAAACTATAGTCTTCAATAAAAACCACATTTTATGTCATCACCAAGTATGAACAGACATACACATTCCTAAAATTAAAAAATATCGTAAAATAATACTTAACTTTTCTGTGATATACTTTCATATTTCCTAGGGTTCTCATTTATTTTGTTAAATAAAAACTTCTATTAGCCACTCAATTAATTTCATGATTCATGGAATTTGCAGGGAAATGGATGGCATTAGAGCAGATTATGCTAAGTGAAGCTAGCCAATCCTTAAAAAACAAATGCCAAATGTCTTCTTTGATATAAGGAGAGCAACTAAGAACAGAGCAGTGAGGAAGAGCATAAGGAAAAGATTAATATTAAACAGAGACGAGTGGTGGGAGGGAAAGGGAGAGAGAAGGGAAATTGTATGGAAATGGAAGGAGACCCTTATTATTACACAAAATTACATATAAGAGGTTGTGAGGGGAAAGGGGGGGGAAACAAGGGAGAGAATTGAACAACAGCAGATGGGGTAGAGAGGGAAGATGGGAGGGGAGGGGAGGGGGATAGTAGGGGATAGGAAAGATAGCAGAATACAACAGTCACTAATATGGCATTATGTAAAAATGTGGATGTGTAACCAATGTGATTCTGCAATTTGTATTTGGGGTAAAAATGGGAGTTCATAACCCACTTGAATCAAATGTATGAAAGATGATATATCATGAGCTTTGTAATGTTTTGAACAACCAATAAAAAAAAAAAAGAAAAAAGAAATTTCATGATTCACTAATGGGTAGTGACCCTCAGTTGCTCTATGAGAAAGCCAGGAGTACAGTTTCTAAAATACATAAATGTAGTCATCCCTACATCCCTACAGAGAATTATCTACTGATAAGGCAGGATGGAATGTGGGGAGGGTTATAGCTTTACCACATGAATGTTTCTATGCTGAAACTGCAATTATGAGTTTTAACTGTGTATAATTAGCTAAAAAGTTCACTCATTATTATGTATGACTATCAAATAACATGAGAATGGTCATATTATGAGCTTTTTTTTTTTTTAAATCCAAAAAAAGTAGGAACATAGCAGGTCTGCTTATATTTCTTCATGGGTAAGACTTGGAGACACTAAGAAGTGTATTAATGTATTAGGATCCCTTTTCTTATTTAGATAATATAAATGATTACCATGTATTCATTGTAATTTGGATCTAATCTTATGTCAAATGTACTTTCTTTGCTTAGTCTTATTTCCTTTTTTGACTTAATTGTATTTCCCTTTATTACTTATCTGAATATATAACTAGATTTTTTCTTCATACTCACAACTCAAAAAAACCTCTCAATATTTTCCAGCTTCTATTTCACATATTAAAATCTAGGATTAATTTAGATTATAGTATTAATTGGATTCTAATTTTTACTTCTTCTAAAATGAGCTTAATTTAAATAATTTACTATTTTACTCTTTAAAATAAGTCTAATTTATTCAAATTTCTCTCTTAGTTCAACTGAAAAAATATAAGAAAGGACTTGGGTCTATCACAATGGTGATAAATGAAGAATTAAATGTTAATATTTTGCCTTGAGAATCTTTTTATAACTTATTGGAATAAACCTAAAGACTAATAAAAAAATTATTAGGGGTATGAAACCAATTTGTGTCATCAGTTTACCTTGCCAATATATTGAATGAAGGTGCTTCTATACATTATGAACATTATATCTGGCCTTACCTGAGCCATTTTTCAGATACCCATTTGCATCTACAGCTGTATACATGATATATGGTCCAGGCTGATTCACTCCAAAAGGCTGCAATAAGAAAAGAAATAGTTTTGAAATGTAAGTGAGTGATTTCAAATTTCATGCAAATCTATCATGAACACAGTAAAAAATTCTTATATGTAATTCTTATATAGATAAGAGTTACTTAGCACTTCTATAATACTTCAAAATAAAACTCGGTTAGTAGAAAATTCTTAACTTTGTAAATGACTTGATAGTTACATTTATATAGTTCAAACTGAGTATTTACAATATTTAATATTGTTTTTCTTTATAAGGACAAATATTTTTTAAGCAAAATTTTATTCACTACTTTCGATTTTACCTAGAATAGAACTACAACAGTTTTGGATGGATGTAGCTCAGTGGTTGAGTGCTTGCTTTGCATGCATGAGATCCTGGGTTCAACCCTTAGCACTACAAAAAAAAAAAAACTAAAACAAAAAACCCCCAAAATCAATAGTTTTATTATATAATATTTCTGTTGAATATAGCATTGCTTTATTTCCTACAGTGATGGGTAATGTATACATTCTCTCACTAAAATATCAAAGTAAATAAAATTCATCTATAATAATTACAGTTGATGAAAAAGATTAATAATTAGTTTTTATCAATTTTAACTCTCTGCTCATTAGAAGAATAAATTATATTCCACTTAAGAAAAATCAGACTGACAAGGCCTAATTACAATGGTAAAGTTTATCTTCAACTTGTATATTGCTTCTTATACTAGAATTATTTTTCAAACTTTGAATGAAAGATGATACATTTATTTTCTTTACAAATTAAACAGGACATAATGGAACTAATGGCTGCAATGGATTTTCCTATAAAGAGATGACAAAAAGTTTAAGAAATGCTTTAAACTCTTGAATATTGTCACAAAAATGAAATTGTATTTATCTTTCCAATAAAGTAGGGGAAAGATAATAATAACATTTAGATAGTCTATTGATGCTCTGAAAATGATTTTCCTCCAGGATAGGCAAGAAATAATTAATTTCATTAATACCACAATTGCCTGATTGATATTTTTAAGAACCTTAAACTTTCATGTGCTTCCAAAGGCCATGAGAAACTAGATTGCTGTAAGAATGGAATAATTACTCATCAGAATTTATTTATTTATTTAGTTAAGTTGAATAAAATATGTGAATAATATCACACAAATAAAGCATATACTTTGTATTAAGTACAGTTTCATGAAAGAGTTAATGAAATTCCATATACGTGTATATTCTTATTTTGTAGACAGGAAAGGAAAAGCATTGTCTTTTAATATCCAGTTTTGAAGCCAACCACAGATAGTTTTTTGTTTTTTAAGTATAGCAGAGATTGAATGCAGGGGTGTTTTATCACTGAACTACTTTCCCAGCCTTTTATTTTGAGACAACTTCTTAATAAGTCTCTGAGGGCCCCGCTAAGTTGCTGAGACTGGCCTTGAATTTGAAATCCTCCTGTCCCAGCTTTCTGAGTTACTGGGATTACAGGGTCAAATTACCATATCACTTAACCACAGATAAGTGAACAAAAGTTAAGGTAAGAAATTATCTTCTTCATGCAATTTTTCTTTTTCTTTATAGTTTTACATATGTAAATTCATTATGTGCTTTGAAAAGTACATTATTTTGAGACTCATTCATAATTAAGCATATGGCTGTAGTACATTTCTGGTGCTTTAGGATATTCCATCATATAACATGTTTTTCTTATTGTTCAGTTTCCCATTGCTTTTGCAGTAATAAGCACAGCATTCTTATATATGAACTGGTATTACCTTTATATTCCTATCAGCAGCATAAAAGAGATACTACCGGTTTATGTACTTAACATTGTGAACGCAGTACATACTTCTTAAAATAAATTTTTCTTTGTATGTGTTTCTTTAGAACAGGGTATGACCTTTCATACTTTAAATCTATCTTATTCCCGGGAGACCTGGAGATACTTATGAGGTCACAATGTCCACTGTGATAATGACTTCAAATTTAATTTGTTATAGTGTAGTGTAGACACTGGAACAGCTATCTTGGGTGATAAGAATTCTCAGTGAATATTTCCAATTATATTCTTGAATATTTGTACTAATTCACCTGGCATATTTCATATTACTATACCTAGTATCTTATTTTTACAGGTTATGTGGGCATTTTTCTCTTTCCCACCCATATTCAATTAAAAAATTAGGTCAGCACGTCTCTGAATTAGAGAGTAAAAGTTCACCACATCATGAGCTAATCATTCTGACATTGAAAGACAATTTCCAGAAATCCAGGTTCAATTCCTCTACACAGTGTTTCTAAAAGTATAGCATAAAAGCTCCTAGGGCTCCTGACACACTCAGAGCAGATCACATTTGGTAAAATCACATTACTATTTTAATAGTAATTCTAAGATGCCTTTGTATTTTACACTCTGTCAACAACTATACTAATGACACAAAAGCAAAGGTGGTTAATTAGCAGTAGCACCAAAAATGGGTATTTAGACTTGGTTATTAGTCAATGCTTTTCTGAAAATGGAGAAATAGAGTCTGACAGTATTTGTTGATAATAAAAAAATTTGAGCTTCCAAGTGAAAACTAGAATCTAGAAAATTGCTACTGTAATCTGACATCTTCCCAATATTTAAAAGCTTTTCTGATGTAATTAATGGTGATGTTAATTCAAAATATTATACTATGAAATGTGTCAACATCAGAATGATCTGTGTAACTCAGTATTCCAAAATTTTCCAAATGAACAATGCATAATGTTACAAAACCATGCATATGAAAAATCATTTGTAGTTGAAGTTGAACCAATAGATTTTTTTTTTTTTTTGGTACTTGGATTGAACTCAGGGGCACTTGACCACTGAGCCACATTTCCAGCCCTATTTTGTATTTTATTGAGAGACAAGGTGTCAGTGAGTTGCTCAGTACTTCGCTTTTGCTGAGGCTGGCTTTGAACTTGCTATTCCCTTGCTTCAGCCTCCCCAGCTGCTGGGATTGCCAGGTATGGGCCACAGCACTAGGCAAACCAATAGATTTTAATAAGCCAAGTTAGGTCTATCACTTCTGAAGTAGCATAGTAAGGACCTCCAAAATTCTGCTTCTTCATAAAAGCAATGAGAACTTTGGCAAAACATTGTCAAAATCACCTTTTCAAAACTTCGAAGAATCTAAGCAGCAATTATTGAAGAAAAACAGCTGAATCTTGTGAATAGTGACCTTTATTGTATATTAATTTGCCCGACTTCCATTACCCTTATGTTAACTCTAATGAAATATTGAAAAACCTACAGCTTTGGGGGGCTAGGTTTGTGGCTCAGTGGTAGAGCACTTACCTAGCATGTGTGAGGCACTGGGTTTGATTTTCAGCACCACATATAAATAAATGAATAAAATAAAGGTCCACCAATGTCTACAATATTAAAAAAAAGAAAAATCTATAGCTTTGCAACTAAGGTAGCTATGAAAACAAATAGCCTTATAGTTACTGGAGGGGGCAGAATAAGGTTTAGAACTCCTAAAAGCCTCATTTCCAGAGAATTCATTATTTGACTTATCCAGAAGCTCCCAGGAAATCTCCATTCTCAGGATTTGTCTTTATTTAGGAGACTGAGAATTTGCTTGTATGAACAGCCCTATCACTGGAATGCTTGTTTAAAATAATCATCATCAGAGGTTTACGACTACAGCTGTCTGAGGCAGTGATATCAACTGGGGTTAATGAGACGCTGACAAAACCTTAAAAGGAAAGATAGAAAGAAGATGTCAGTAGGGGGATTTGAGAAGCTTTGATATATTTCTGGGAAATCAGAAGGTCACATACATGAATAGTACTATGTTCATGCCCCAAAAGCCCTGAGAAGGATCTCATCTATCATTTAAGGCACTATCTGATCATCCAAGATGACCATTAAGCTGAGGGGGGCAAACTTTAGTAGCCACATGCATAAGGAGTAGAGGCGTTATAGAATTTATCCAGGTGAATCATATGACAACAAGCAATAACAAAAAACTCAGGGTAGGTGGGGAATATCTGATATCCAGAGTTGATACATATTTTAACATACACATTTTCAACAATAACAAGAAAGTATGGCACATACAAAGAAACAAGAAAGTATGGCTCATATACTACGGACGGGGGATAGTCAATAGAAACTGCCCCCAAGGAAGCTTAGATGGCTGATTTACCAAAGATTTTAAATCAGCTCTAATAAATATATCCAAAGAACTAAAGGAAATCATGATGAAAGAATTTACAGAAATCATAGAAAACAGTGTCTCACCAAAAAAGAATATGAATAAAGAGGCAGAAATCACAAAACAGAACCAAAACTAATTTCTGGAGTACAATGACTGAAATGAAAAATTCAGTACATTGGCTCAGTAGATTTAAATTGGCAGAAAAAATAATTGAAGATATGTCAATTCAGAAAATGAAGAGAGCTACAGAGACCTATGGGGGTACCATTAAGAATATTAACTATAATGGAAGTTCTAGAAAGAGAGTAGAGAAGGGGAGAAACAATATATGAAGCAATAATGGCCGAGACTGCCCAAATTTAATGAAGTATGTTAATATTCACATGTAAAAATCCCAGTGACTACCCGGTAGGATGAACCACAGAGATCCACAGCATAATACATTACAGACAAATACTAACAATCATATCATAGTAAAAAAAAAATTTTTTTTGTGGTCATGGGGCAAGTGCTAGGCAAGTGCTGTACCACCTCAGCCCTCATAGTGAAATTTGGAAACGAAATAGAGAATCTTGAAAGCAGTAAGGGAGAAGAATTCATTCATTATGTACAAGGGATCCTCAATAAGATTAATGGATGATTTCTCATTATAAACCCATGAGGCCAGAAGGTAGCAGAATGATACATTTGAAGTATGAAAGAACATGACTATTAATCAAAAAGTCTAAAATATAGTACAACTGTCCATCAAAAATGAAAAGGAAATTAACACATTGCCAGATAAAAACAGAAGATTTTATTGGTACACCTAACTTACAGGAATACTGAA